TCTTGTATAACTTAAACATTTATCTTTCATTTTATTTCATTTAAATTATATCATTTTAAAAACATTAAACTTTTTTTTTCCATTTCCCCTTTCATTTCATTTCATTCTTAAGCTACAAAATGTATACAAACATAATATAATTGGCTAAAGCATTAAAGAAATTATTTATTTAATAAACTTTAAATTCAATATATATAAGAAAATAATTACTCACCTTGACTTAGAAAACCTCTGAAAAATTTTATTACTTCTCTTCACTTTCTACCACCTAAACCAATAAAACGTGCATATACTTGTAAGAACTTCGTTTTAATGGAAAGACTTAAATGTAGTTAGCTTATTTAAAGATGCAAGAATGATTAAAAACACTAACCTCTACTGACCTTAAAATTGTTAGTTTTTCTTAAAATTTAAGAATTTATCAACCTTCTACACCTTCTCATCATATAAAAAAAATAATATTAATTTAAATAATTATACTATTTTTTCTAATAGCATTATATAATTAATATTTACCTTATAAGTTGCTCAAATCAATCCTCCTAACTCGTACGCTCCTCCAACTTCTCCTTCGAATCCGAAATCATTAATTATTAGTCCTGATTTTTAAATAAAACAACCCATAAATATTTTTATTAATCGCCCTCACACATAAATTTTATTTATATAATAACATATTAATTAACTTCTAAAATTAAACATTCCTTATAAGTTTCGATCGGCCTCTCCCCTAGCTCACACTTGAGCTCAGCAATTGCAGAGGGAGCTTTCTGATCTTCTTCTCCCTCATGTAAAAAATGCCGCTACCCTCTTCTTTTTTGCAAGGTTCAATGCAGATAGCACAGCACGACTCAACGAAGACAACATTGCATTCTTTTCTTCTTCCTCTTCCTCTTCCTCTTCCTCTGTGCGAGTCCAACGTCGAAGTCTCCTCTTTCCCCACTCTGCTTCGTATGGTGGCACCGCTTGAAGCCGTGACCTCTTCCCTTCCTCGATCGGTTCATTAGGGCTTGAGGTAGATAGCACGCGTGTGAAATTTCTCCTCTTTCTTTGCACGCAAGCTACACGAGCTTCTTCCTCCTTTTGCTAGGGCTCGACGTCAAAAAAGGTGAGAGACAATCTCTACTCTTCTTTCGCACGGGTCGACATAGTACCCACTACTTCTTCCTTCAATTTCTCCTATTCCTTCCTACGCACAACTTCCTTTCTCGATCTTTCTCGTTTTCCCTCACTCTTTCTCTACGTTGGTTTGAATGAGGGGTAACGACTCTGAAGTTTTAACCAAAGGGGTACTTATCCTTTATGCCTGTTCAATTAACTGCTATTATTATTATTATTATTATTATTATTATTATTATTATTTTTAACTTGTTATTACAATATATATATATACATATATATATATATATATGAAGGATGTCGATGGGTTGGTGCTCTGCTAGGGTTTCGTCGTGTGATGGCGATTCTTCGTGATTTCACTAATTTCGTCGCGAGGTTTGGTTCTCCGATGGGGGAATTTCATTCGTTCGCTAAGGTGGCTACGGGTAGGACTATGGTAGTCGGCGCTTCTCCCACTTTGGTATTTCCCCAAATTTTCCACGATGCTTTGGTTGTTTCGAATGAGGGTTTTCTGGTAAAAAAGGCTGGTAAGAAGAATGGTAAACCTGTTTTTTTCCTTTCTGATGTGGAGTGCGCTACACTTGCGGCTACCTGTAGGCTCATATTACGTCAAACACATAACTACGAGAGACAGTTCTACAGGTGCCAATGGAAAATCACAAACAAGCGTGACTTCTTCCGATGGGCAGACAAGCTAGCAGATTCCACCACCGATAGTGATCGGAAATGGATAGTATCCCTGGAGGACGGTCTGGCCCGTGACATACGTCGTCTCCATTTTAAAAATAATATTATCATATTATTAAACGTTACTTTAATAGTCTTTTTCTTTATTTTAGTAATAAAGATGCTCACTCTTAAGTGAGATATATATTATATTTTTTGTAATGTTCTGAAGTGAATTTTTGCTTCTAAAGTATTAAATATATTATATGAAAATTTTGTTGCAAATAACATTATTATACAGTGACAGAATAATTATTTGTCAAGAAACAGTTATACTGCAACTGTTTTCAAATAACAATAAACAAACAGCCAACCAACTTAACTGTAATAGTTTTTTAGGCAGCTGAAGCTGCTCCAAACAGACCCTAAAACAACATCGAGCTAACCAAAGCAGTGAATACTCACACTTCTAAACTACAATAATACAAATGAAAAAGAAAACAATATGCAAGTTAAGATTTAATAAATCAGTATAAAATATTTGATAGTTTAACAATTTGATCACTTCCAATATTTCAAGTTATTCAATAGGTTGTACTATATTAATATCATGCAAATATTATCATACATCTTTATAAATGTTATAAGAGCACCGTCTAAAATTTTATATCAATTTAGGTATTTCAACACCAATAAATCAGTATAAAATATTAGCATTCCTCCACAGTATCATAAAGAGATAACTTCATCATAGTCAAGCATGCACATACAAGCATACTATAAAAATCACTATCTATTAATGATTATTTCATTTTCATTTGCTTAACAGTCAAAATACTTATATAACATTTAATATTTATGATAATTTAAACAAAGATGAGTACACACATTATTCCTACAATATGAACAAAAATTCTATAAATCCAAAATCACGAATATATAATAATTTCAATATAACTAGTGATAGTATCAATAATGCATTAAGTCTAGTAAAAGCAAAATATTATTATAGTATAAAAAAATGAATACTCATTTTGATGACAATTTATTTGTTCATGAATTTGCATTGATCTCAACTCTTCAAAAATTGATGTCTATAGTAAACATGGTATTCATATTACAAAAATTTAATTTACTAATAATATTATAATTAATTATTAACTTTACATAATTTAAGTATCAATTTCCATCGTTTTATTTTATGAAATCCTAATTAACTTTATTTTGCTATTAAAATTCATTAATAAAATTATAATATAAACCCAAACTTTTCATACCAAAGTTTGCTAGGGTCAATCTTCCTCCTCTAGTTGGCACACATCGCCTCCTTTTATTCCCCTCCAATCTGAAATTCTAAGCCATGAGTCCTAATTTTAAAAAATTTTATATTAACATTACAATGTGTGTGTGTATATATATATATATATGTGTGTGTGTGTGTGTAATTTTCTTATTAAATTAATTAATTAAAATTATTTATAGATGATTTAAATCTCGGTCAAGAGCCTAATCCGCACGAACCCGTCTTCCTCCTCTGTGCGTGTGATGTTGCTTCTTCTTCGCACACAAAGGACACTCAACTTGTTCTTCTTCCCACTTCTTTTTGAAGCTGCCCCTCTTCTCCTCCTCTATTCCTCTTTTATTCTTCAATGGTCGGCTAGGGCATGGTCGAGTGCCTGTATGCACACACAGAGCATCTCTTCCTCTACAGGGCTCAATGAAGCGCGGTAGGCTTCACCCAATAGGGAAAACCGCAATAACTCCCCTCCTCCGAACTTCGCACTAGAGCAGCTTAACTCTACAGGTAAGTCGACTTCAACCATTGATAGAGCGAAAATATCCTTTTGTTTTCCCGAGTGCTCGCTTCCTCTCCCTCTTCGGCTCCCTATGGTATTTGAAACAAGGCATCACATTCAATTGGAAGAAATTTTATAAATATTAGATGTGTGAATTATTTGCATCATGTAATTGAAATCAACTATCTCACCAAATTAGAGTATTTCCTAAAAATGGATTTTTCTTGCTTCAACCTCCTTGGAGAGTAAATGTTTTAAATTGACTTATGCTAAGAAAAGTATAGATAGACTTAAAAAGAATTGGGCATGTTGTATAACAAATTATCTTTATTAAAATTAAATGAAAATATGGCACTCAATAGAACACAATGGAGAAAAATGATTCATGTAGCAAGCCTCGCTTAGTGCGATAAATGCTTGTTTTTGTTGTTGTTGTTGTTGTAACCTCCTTAAGATATTGTTCTTCTGTAAACAGTCTAATAGAAATATTAATTTCCACAATTTGCTACCAATTCCTAGATCAACTAGGAATTAAATGGATCAATCTTAAACAACAAATTTTATATCAAAAGAATACCTCCTTCTTCAAACCTTTGGCCTGCAACTGAAAACTAAAAAATCAGATTTATTCCCTGAATTCCCAAATTTTTTTGTTTCTCTTCATTTTCTTCTCCTCCATTCTTTCCTTTAAACTTTTCTTCTTCTTACACTTCTCTTCTTCTTACCTTCTCTTTTGCTTTTTCTCTCTATTTCCTAGTTTCAAGCACCAGCCATAGTTAACGGGAGAATGGAATGGATAAAGAAAGCAATGTTAGGTGGCTTAAGATAAAGTTTATACAACAAACATGCAGGAATGCATACATACATATATATGTATGTATGTATGTATGTATGTATTTGTATGTATATTGATCACTTTCTATATTTCCTCTTTTTTTTGGAACCTTTTGTATGTGATGGTTATCGTGGGAAAGGGTGCCATGCATGGGCCCTTCCACACAATCTTTATGTATCCTTATTTTCTTTTAATATATTAGTCTTTGGGCTTTCTCAAAAATATATATATTGATCACAGTTGGGGCTTGTTGCTTGCAGCAAAAAAGCAGTTGGGTGAATAGCAGATTTCATCAAGTCTTATGAAAAAAATTTTATATGAAAACTAATTAATATTTGCTGATATCACAAAATTTAAAACACCTATCTTTACACATCAAGGGAACCTACCAACCAAAAAGAACATGCATTTCTGTGTATTTGTTACAAAGTAACGTTAGTTGATGACAATTATAATGAAATCACGAACCAACAGGTACAGCACAATTTATTTGTGAAGTATATATTACATTAAAGTGATGACAATTTCATCTTGTTTCAAATCAAATAGAAAACTTTTAATGCATAATAAAAATAACCTAATACCTTTCTTCCAGTGAAGAACTCCACAATGTTATCGTAATTCTTCTGAACACTGGATGAAAGAAACCATGGATACTTGATAAGTATTTTGCCAATATCTTTCTCAAAACCAGCCTAGAGCAGACAATAAAATTTTATAAAAAAAAGGTTTATAATGTTGAAATCAAAATTTGGGATGTTCATAATGAAGCAAATGCTATGTGGGACAAAGTAACAAACACTATTTAACAAGTAGCAAAATATGTACTTGGAGAATCAAAAGAAAAAATTTCTATAAATAAAAATAGTTGGTGGTGGAATATTAATGTGCAAGAAAAGATAAAATATAAGAATTTATGTTATAAAAATTGGTTTAAATGTAAAAGCTTAGATAAAGAGGAAAAATATCAAACGGCCCGCAGGGAGTCTAAAAGAACAATCTGTGACGCTAAAAAAATCTGCTTTTAATGATCTTTATAATGGATTAAATACTGAGGATGGTGAAAATATATATGTATAAACTAGCCAAACAAAGAGAAAAAAAAAAGAAAAAATTTAACTCAAGCAAAGTGTACTAAAAATGAAAATCAAAAAATATTTTTCTTAGACAAAGATATTCAGCATAGATGGGCGAGTTATTTTGATAAACTTTTTAATGAAGTTTCTGAAAATATGATTGACCATAGTGATCTTAAGATCGTTAATAATAATAAAACGTTTCAATTTTACCATCGCATTAGGAAAAAAGAAGTTGAGGTGGCTTTAAGGAAAACCAAGGTGGAAGGTCTGTTGGACTTGATGATATTCCAATTGAAGTATGGAAATATTTAGGAGATTTGGGAGTTTCTTGGCTTACTAAACTCTTTAATATTATTTTAAAAACTAAAAAGATGCCTGAAGAGTGGAGGGAGAGTATTTTGGTCCCATTTTTAAGAATAAAGGAGATGCACAAGAGTGTGCAATTTATAAAGGAATTAAGTTGATGTGTGATACTTTAAAATTATGGGAGAGGGTAATTGAACATAGGTTAAGACGTATTACTAAGATTTCTCATAATCAATTTGAATTTATGTCAAGCGGGTCTACTATGGAAACTATACCTTTATGGAGAGGTTTGATGAAGAAGTTCAGAGATAATAAGAAGAATCTACATTTGATTTTTATTGATTTAGAAAAAGCTTACAATAAGTTTTCAAGAGATATCCTTTGGAGAGTTCTTGAGAAGAAAGGTGTTGATATACTTATATTCAAGTCATTAAAGATATGTATACTAGAGTTGTTACTTGTTTTCGAACTGAAGGAGGATTGACCAAATATTTTCTTATTTCTATTGGATTACATCAGGGATCGACTTTGAGCCCATATCATTTTGCTTTAGTAATGGATGAGCTCACTGGACATTTACAGGAGGTACTATGGTGTATTTTTTTTGTTGATGATATCCTTCTCGTGGATAACACGGGAGAAAAAGCACAGAAAAACTTGAATTATGGAAGTCTACATTGGATTCTAAAGTCCTTCATCTAAGTAGGACTAAAACTGAGTACATGGAATGAAATTTTAGTAGTAGTAGCTCTAGTGACAGAAGTGTAACTTTGGGTGATCAAATTATTAAAAGGTGTGAATGATTTAGATATCTTGGGTCTGTTGTTCAAAGCAATGGTGATATAGATGGGGATGTTAATAGTAGAATTCAAGTTGGTTGGTTGAAGTGGAAGAAATGCTTCGGGCCTTTTGTGTGATAGAAAAGTACTACTTAGACTGAAAGAAAAATTATATAAGGCGGTGGTGAGACCTGCAATGCTCTATGGCGTTGAATGTTGGCCTTTTAAAACAAAAGCAAAATACTAAGTTAAGGGTTGCCAGGTGGATTAAGTGGATGAGTGGCTTTACACTTAGAGACAAAATGCGAAATGAATATATTCGTGATAGGGTTGGTGTAGCTCCTATGAAGGACAAAATTAGAGAAAGTCGTCTTAGATGGTTAGGTTACATTAAGTGTCGACCATCTGATGGTCTGATTAGGAGAGTAGATGTTTTAGATTCGACTTATGTTAAGAAAAGCAGAGCTAGACCTAGGAAGACTTGGACTTATTGTATTAAAAATGACCTTAATTTATTAGAACTAAATGAAAAAATGATACTAAATAGAACGCAATGGAGAAAAAGGATCCATGTAACCGACCCCACATAGTGGGATTAAGGCTTTGTTGTTGTTGTTTTTGTTTTATATATAATGTTGATATCAGAGTTAACCCAATAATAGTAGGAAAGCGCATATTATTACTGAAAAAGCCAAATGAGTTAACCCAGATAATACTAGGAATTCAAATATTATTAGTGAAAAAGCCAAATAGGTGGTTACAACCAAACACATTAAAATGGAAATACAACAACACAACACACTCACAGTAGGGTTCGATCTGTGTGTGGTGGGGGTTGGCTTGGCAGTCGGTGACTGGTGGTAGGTGGTAGGTGGTTGTAATGTGTTGTTGGATTGCTGGAAACAGTAAAGGAGGAGCTGGAACTGTGATGGCTGAGAGGCAGAAGGCCTAGAACAACAGCAGCAAGAATGTGGAGGGCTAGGACAATAAAGAGGAAGGTTTGTGGACTGCAGGACTGCCAGAGTAGTGCTATCCTATGCGTGGGGACAGCGAAAAAGAAGGCGAATTAAGGGTGCTGGCAGCGAGGAGGAGGAAGTGGAGTTTCTGAGAAGGAGGTAGCAAGTCAGAAGGGAAGAGTGCAAAGAATGCTAGAATGGGGCCAAATCGAGAGAGAGATACAGTTGGGGCACCACTCGACACTTGGAGGAAGATCACTACCTCTGACCGAGAAACAGCCGGAGCACCACTTGACCTTGGACACGCCCTAAAAGGGAAAATTTGGAGACGTTGGTGGCTGTCCCAACAAAGAACTCACGAAAAACTGGCCTAAAACACAAAAACAACATGCTTATACTATGAGGGTAACTTAAGTGGCAATCCCATGGTAAGGATCGATCAACCTCTAGTTCACTAGACTGAACGGGTGCACGCAAATGATGGATGAACCGCCATCTTCGGTTTGCTACAATTGCACGTCTTGCTAGAACGACAGTCACGCATCCCGCATCACACAAGAGAGATACCCCGCGTCAGTCTCTTCGGGTTGGGGGAGCTTCGACTTCATTCGTCAAAGTTTTTGCCTGCGCATTGAAGGTGACGAAACTGTTGTAACCTCTTAGAGTTGAAGGTGCTTCAACCGCATTGATATGAGCATCGGAATTCCAATGTTAGTTACATTGTCCCCTAAAACACCTGAGGAATTTTCTCCAGTTATGAGTAGTCATCTATATGGGTCCAATCACCTGGAGGTATAATACTGAACTAAAATAGGGCTTCTTGTCACGTATATTCTACTGAATCCTCGCCAAATATCTCAAGGTGGCTCAACTTGATCTGCAGTGGCTTGAATCTCCCCAAACGGGGGTGATCATAGTGATAAGCTATTGAACAGGATGTCTTGAAGATCATTTAATTTACAAGCTCAATTTTTCAACTCGAGCTCAAGCTCGAATTCGTGGCTCAATAAGCTTAGCACGCAAGCTCATTAGCGAGTCGAGCTCAATCAGCTCATTTACACATTTAGTTATATGTAAGATTTCATCATCCATATGGGTCCAATCATCTGGAGATATAATACTGAACTGAAATAGAGCTTCTTGTCATGTATATTCTACTGAATCCTCGCCAAATATCTCAAGGTGGCTCAACTTGATCAGCAGTGGCTTGAATCTCCCCAAATGGGGGTGATTATAGTGATAAGCTATCGAACAGGATGTCTTGAAGCTCATTTAATTTACAAGCTCAATTTTCCAGCTCAAGCTCAAGCTCAAGCTCAAATTCGTGGCTCGATAAGCTTAGCACACAAGCTCATTAGCGAGTCGAGCTCAATCAGCTCATCTACACATTTAATTATATTTAAGATTTCTTGCAATCAAATAACTTAAATAAGAAATAACAAACTAATTTATTGATATAAAAAATAATAACATATTGTATTAAATTTATATGTACATTGATAATAAATTAAAATATGTTATCATTAAATATATAATCAAATATTCTAGTTAATCAAAGTTTATTTAAATAGCATATCATATAAATATATAGCATTTAACAACTTGCTTGTTGAACAACAAACAAGCTTGTTCATGAACATTAATAAATGAGTTAGACTATGTTTAAATTTGACTTATTTAACCTTCTAATTTAGAACAATATCTAACTTGTTTATTTACTAGTTTAAACAAATATGATTGAGTATCAAGTGCATTGGTACGTTTATAACCCAATCGACGATGGTTTCTCAAGCTCGGCTTCAATGCGATGGGCTCGACTTCGATTGGATCTGCTTGTGATAGAAGTAAAAACACTTCACAACCTCGATAATGTTGAAGACTACTCTCACCTATAACAATGAGATGCATTGAACTGCTCGTATCTGGAATGATAATGCTAAGATGAGGGTCATGGCTTCGATTTTGACATGAATTTTCAGCTTTGGCCTCGACCTAGGATAAAGATGAAGGAGGTGGAGAGGTATTTCTAATTTTGGTCCCATGTTGTGTCTAGCAGTGCCCCGATGTGTCCCGAGCTGTGTCGAACATAAGCAAAAGCTTCGACATGATTTATACCGTTTCAAACACATGTAGATCAGTATGCGTTCGTGTCCAACACGGTTATAGCAACTAGTTAGCCTTGTTGACGCTTTGTAGAATAATGTCTTCCTTCAAAGTGAGCTTGAAGAAGTTTACATGAAAATTCCACCTAGTTTTCAAATATCTTTTGCAGCAAACAAATTCTGCTAATTTAAAGGTTCTTTATGGCTTAAAGCGATTCCCATGAGCTTGGTTTGTCATACTCACCAAAGCAATCAAATAGTTTGGTTGCATACAGTATCAAGCTGGTCACAATCTTTATTAAAAGAACAATTGTAGGTAAGCTTAATGTTTTGGCTGTTTAAATAGATGTATTTGCCCTCACATAAGACTGTTAAAGAAATGGACAGACCTGCACCCTTAGCCAAAGAATTCAAAATTCAAAACCTTAGAAATCTGAAATCTTATATATTCTCTAAGCATAGAGGTGGCTTAATCACAAAACGGTGTTTAGTCTCACAGCACATATGTCTTTCTTATCCTAAAAGAAACGGGAACATTGGGATGTAAACTAGCATATACGCCCATGGAATCTACTACCAAGTGTGGAAAATAAGATGATTGCGCTCCCATGGATAAAGGTTGAATCAAAGAATTACTAATCGGTTTGGTTAGTCAATTTATGAATAATCCTACTAAAAAATACATGAAAACTATTTTTAAAGATCCTTGCAATGCTATTAAAAAAAAAACTCCAAGAAAAGTATTGTTGTTAAAAATAAGATTGAGGATTTTATAGATATTAAACGGATAAGTTTACTTATGGAACAAAGGTTCACTTTAGGGTATTTACATTTGGGTGGGAAAATTTAACCACTTGGCGTAATGAAATACAAAATGAGAAGCAACGCAAAAGTTCAGTATAAAGCCCATCAAACTATTTTATCAGCCTGCTCTTTCTACATTATAATTGAACCATCATTAAGTGATACAATAACAATCCTATAAAATAAACATTTTCAGACAAAATGTACCTCCAAGTAAAAAAATTGTACTTAAAATAGAAGCAATTAGAGGCCACAAGGTCACATAGCTGTTGATAGAAAACTAAATTCAAGTATTTAGCCAAAAAATTTACCAAAGGACACGTGCGTACCTTTTTCAACACATCCAACCTTGATTTAATATCATTCTCAATATCATAAAATATGATTGGTGGATATAACAAAAGGACACTTCTTATGCTTGCCATAGGGACTCCAACAAGCAAGAGAAAATCAGCTAAAGGCTTCAAATGATTTTCAATGGATAACAAAAGTAGCTTTGGGAAAGATTCAATAAGATGTGCAAAATAGGTATCTCCCTGGTCCAACATGCTCAAACCTCCATTTCTAGACTCCATCTGCACAGAAGTAAGACTTTCGTAAATATATTACAACAGGCAAGTATTCGTAGATAAAACTATACAATAACTTAAAAACTATAGTAAATGGTAGAAGAAGTTACTACAACATGCAGTTATTCATAGATAAAAACATGCCATAACTACAAAAAACCAATAGATTGTAGAGGAGGTTAATATCTGATTAGGCACAACACAACTTACCTTTTCAAAAAATGCTAGTGTCTCTTGGATATCATCATCTGCAAAAATTGATAAATGCATCATCATACGTCGAGCATTCTTTCCGACCACTGAAATATTTTCACTGCTTGAGGATAACATTTCTTTCACAAATTTAACCTACCAAACAGTTGTAGATACAAATTTAAAAAGAAGTCACAAAATCATGGCAAATCAAAAAGTTGAGATATTACACCAAAACTTGATCAATGAAAAAACTTAACAGGAAAAATAATAATTTACCATTTTACAATTATCATTCAATAAGATTTTTCATGGCTGCTTCCCCTTAATGTGCAAATAATTTTTTCATAATCATCTAAATATGAATGCCAAAAAAGAACAAATATATAGCTGACATTTGACATGTATCAATGTGGTGATAAGCAAGGGTAGCATGAAATAGATCTTTTCCAAACAAAAGGACAGATTATAGTGAACCAAGAACTTCACATTATTATAAGTCTCATCTAGACAAGGTACATAGAAAAAATTTTATGGATCATGGAATAAGATAATAAGAACAAAAGCAGAAAACAAGACAAAATCAAATGGCTAACTTAAGAACATACTTATCTATGTTTAAATCAAAATGAAGTAAATAAAAATTTCAAAGTAAAATTACAGAAACAGGGACTAGGAGAAAACATTTGAGGAATAATAACCAAGGCATCAAACCAATCTAAAACAATTGAAGAATATGCAAGAAGCCACTTTTAACAGAAATTGTGGCATCTTCCATGATAAGTACTGTAGGAAAATGGCACCTCCAAATCCCCCATTTCAATCTACCACCCATGCGCCTACTAAACTCACATCTCTCTCTCATTCTCTCCACGCATAAAAAACAAAAGATTCTCACCCAAAAAAGCATTCAGCTACAGCCCATCAATATTTTACTTAGTTGGGGAAGGGGTGATTACTAAATACCTCGTATATCCCCTATCCTTCAAAATAATTTCTCATTCAGGGATGCTACTTCCCAATCTCCGTCTCCCTACTAAGCAGCCAGGGAAGGAAACCAATTTATAGAGTTTTAGTGGACTGCAAGTAGCCAGCAACTTCCACTCCCCACCACCAACTTAAATTACTCCCATGTCCCCATACAAAATCTAATAGCAAACTAGTAGACGGCAATAAAAAAATACTTGATCTTTTGTCCTTTAGTCATGCTCTCAACTACTCCAATCCCTATAAACTCCCTCAGCTTAATTTACCGCCCAAACACCCACTACCTTCTAAAATAGAAAAAATAACCCAATGAACTCACCCATTCTCTTGAAAGAAAATAGCCCCACCACCCCTCCTGATACTGGAGTTGACCCAAACTACGACGCAGGACACAATTTTATTACGAACATAAAATAAGGTTACAATGAAAACTCAAAATAACAAAAAACAATAAACAAAACAAAAGCACAAAATAAAGGATTACAACTAATGACTCAACAAAGAAGACAACCAATTGATGAGAAGGGAGTCTGGCGAGGGGAGGCTGGATTGGCGGTTTCGTTGAAAGCCAGACAGGCAGGGTTGCTGTGGAAGAAGTAGAACAACAAATTGGTGATAGTAACGGCGTCAAACCACAGTTGGAGAGGTGCAGGACCGTCGTCGGAGGCTGGATTGACGGCCGCGGTGAAGGCCGGAGAGGTGGGGTTGCTGTGGAAGAAGTTGTACAACAGGTTGGCAATAGTAACGGCGTCGAACCGCAGTTGGAGAGGTGCATAAATGTCATCGGAGGCTGTGGTGAAGGTCGAAGAGGTGGAGCTACTGTGGAAGAAGTAGGACAGCAGGTTGGCGATAGTAGCAGCGTCGAACTGCAGCTTGAGAGGTGCAAAAACGTCGTCGGAGGCTAGACTGATGGCTGCAGTGAAGGCCAGAAAGATGGGGTTGCTATAGAAGAAGTAGGACAGCAGGTTGGCGATAGTAAGGGAGTCAAATCGCAGCCGTAGAGGTGCAGGAACATCGTCGAAGGCTAGAATATGAAATAACAATAGAAAAACAGAAGTATGGTAAGATAAATATCTCGGCGGGGTTGAGATACAGCTGAACAATCACCACCTCAGACGAGGGACAACCACAACACTACATTGACGTCAGATATAGCCCTCAAAAGGAAAATACCAAGGCTAACCTGAATTCAAATATCAAAAAACAAGACCCTTCACTCTAAACACAACTCCTATTTATAGAGAGACTTGATCCAATTAGAAAACACTAAAATAATGAGAATAAAATCATATTTCAGATTTTAGAAAAGACTTTTAAAATAAGGAATGAGAATGAAAATCATATTTCAATTTTAGGAAAGAATTTAAAATTAGGAAGGAGAATAAAAATCAGATTTCTGCTTTAAGAAATGATTTAAAATTAGGAAGGAGAATAAAAATTAGATTTCAATTTTAGGAAATGTTCTAAAATAGGAAAGTGCTAGGAAAGAAATAAGAAAAGAAGGAAAAGAAGGAAAAAGACAAATGAGGGAATAAAGAAACGAAGGAATAGAAAGGAAGGAGCTGCCTTGAGGACCAGTCAGTCCTCTCCCGAGCCCTGCGTCAATCTCCCGGGGTTGGGAGGGCCTCGACCTCACCTGTCGAAGCTTCTAGTCTCTTATCTTCAATTATGACAGCACCTGGATCCCGTTGTCGACTGTATTACCTCCCAATGCACTTGCGAGCACACCTCCATCTCAGTATGATCTCCTAGGAATGAAATCTCTTGCATGGTGGTGTCCATGGTGGTAGAGACTTCATTGTCACTAAAACCCATCCCTTTACTCTGCTAGTAAAGGCTCTTGTTTCCTAGGGTGCTACTGAGGAAAGTAGAATGAGGCGTTCACCGTCCTTAGTGAAGGAATACATGTTTCTGAATCTATCGTGTTGAGTTCTTTGGTCAAACTGGTCATCCCAATAACAGGTGGCAGACATGGACCACATCACACCGTACATGTTCCTGCAGTTGACTCCCTATTGAAAACTCTACTAGGCATTGTTGGTCGATACTGACCCAGTTTTTTTTCTTCAGCCACGGCAGTGAATATGGCTGGGAACGCCTCTAAGTTGTGAGTTCTGATTTTTTACCATCTGAGTCGTTGTCACATTCATACTGCTACTGTTGTCGATAATAAGGTTGCATACATTTTTGTTCCCTGTGCAGCGGGTATAGAAAATGTTGTGGCGAAGCCATTACGGATCCCTCATGTCCTCGGCCTACAAAATTCATCAAATCACAAGTGTTTCTCCCTCATCTGGTGGAAGCTGGTGCTCCTCACCTTGTTTCTCAGCTTCCTAGTCCTCGATAACCTCTTCCACGGCGCCCTGCTCGATAAAAGTTACAACTCTGCTCGTGCACAAATCCATGGCATTTGAAGCATTTTCTGGAGGAGGCACTGTAGTCGGCTTCTTTTCACTAGAGGTGGTTTTATCTATATCTGAACCAATTTTCTCAACTCTCTACGACATGCTGCTGCTAGTGTCTCCAAATGTGGGAAGCTGTCTGGTGAGTAGTGGTTGTCGGCTCTACTTCTGCTGTCTTTCCACTTTCAATGCTTGTGTTTGGACATCCCCAACCTCCAATACAACAGAAGCCACACTACATTGCTAATACTAGGTTTCAAGCCCCCGAGATATCTGGCTATTGTACTCTCCTCTAGCTCTGTCAAGTCACACTTTAGCTATAAGTGGTCGAACTGAGCTGTAAACTTCTCTACTGAAAGGTCTCTCAACTGCAAATTGCGGAATATGAAAAACATCTCTTGGCTGAAATGAGAGGGAAGATATTTCTTCTGCATGATTGTCTTTATCTTCTCCCATATGGTAATATTTTTGCTGCCTTCTCTCCTCCTCTGTCACTGTACGTTCTCCAACCATAAGAGGCATTTTTCTTTAATTTGATAGCAGCTAATTTGAATTGCCTCTCTTCAGGCACCTCATTGTATTCGAAGATCAGCTCAACTACCTGTAGTCAATCAATGAATTCATCTGGATCCATGCTCCCCTCAAACTCAGGCAAATCTACCTTGATCCTGTGGCCTCGGTGCCCTCCAAATGACATCTCTTTTCAGAAAATTTCCGTGTGGGAGGGATGCAGGTATCCCTCTTTAGGCCTCCTTTGATATTGGATTCTGAAACATCGTGGTCTATCTTTTTCATCGTTGAAATTATCCCTGTGAAAGGGATTCAGATCCTCGTCTCTCTCTCCCCTTCGACTCTCTCAGTCTCGGTCAATGGTAACTTCTTCCTGTGTCATCTCTTCAATCTCTACAATTCTTTGTTGGAGGTGACGGAGTTCTCGCCATATCTCTTCTCTGGTAAACTCGGGCATATTTCTCCTAGGCGGCATGTCTGATGATTTGAGATCTGTGAAAGGAAAAAAATGAACAAAGAAGGAAGAGAAAAAATAAACGAGAGAAAAAATTTGGTGAGGTGAGTTGGATAGGGCGGAAGCTAGAAACCCTATGATGGAACTAAGGTTGGGTTAGTTTTGATACCAAATGATACCGGAATTAATCGAAACCACGACGCATAACACAATTTTATTACTGACTTAAAACAAGGTTACAATGAAGACTTGAAATAATAAAGATAGCAAACAAATCAAAAGCACAAATAAGGGATTACAAGTAATGACTCAACAAAGAAGACACAATCGCTTGATGAGGAAGGAGACCAGTGAGGGAAGGTTGTATTGGCAGCTTATGGTGAAGGCAAGAGAGATGAGGCTGCTGTGGAAGAAGTATGACAACAGATTGGAAATAGTAATAACGTCGAACCACAGCTGGAGAGCTGCAGGAACGTAGTTGGAAGCTGGATTGGCGGCTGCGGTGACGGCCTGAGAGGTGGGGCTACTGTGGAAGAAGTATGACGACAGGTTGACAAAAGTAACGGCGTCGAACTGCTTTTGAAGAGGTACAGGAACATCTTCAGAGGCTAGATGGAGGGTTGCGGTGAACGCTGAAGAGGAGGGGCCGTTGTTGAAGAAGTAGTACAACAGGTTGGCGATAGTAACGACGTCGAACTGTAGCAGGAGAGGTGCAAGAACGTCTCAGAGGCTGGATTGGCGGCTGTGGTGAAGGTCGGAGAGGTGGGGCTGTTGTGGAAGAAATAGGACAGCAGGTTGGCGAT